TGTAAAGCTGGAAAGGTTCCAGATACGCACACGCGCTGTTCTGTGAATGCACCAAACGGGGCTCTCGTCGACGGATATCCTCTACATGGCATCAATTGCCTCTATTTCGTCGTGCAACTTGGATTGTTGCAACTGTTTACAATTTATATCGACACTTTTGCCGTTAAGACATACATCTTAAGCATCGGTAGCGAAATTTGTGCGCCGAATTATTAGAAATCGGTGTGTAGGTGCAATCCAGATCATTTGTGAACTTTGGCGGCAACAGCCATTGATGAGATTGTTAGAGGTTGACTGACCGTCTTATTGCGGCAGATGAGAGATGTTGTTAGTTGCATATCAACTTACACTTTGCAAAATACTTCAACCAAAATTAGGGATACGCCAACTAAATGACATTTGAGAGACAAGGTATCAGGCTTGATTTAGGAATGACGGCCAGATTATTGGCAGTGACTGCCATTTCAGTGTGGTCTTTTACTTTAGCTGCTATGATCATTTTGTGTGTACTCGAGATAGATTTTAATAAGTTGGATAGCGCCACTTCAGTGCGCTGCAATTGTGACGAAAATAAAAAAAATATGAGGTGAGTGTGAGAAACACTTCCATTTTTTTTTATAAAAGTCCAGCATCAAGCTTTGATAAAGATTTAGACCCAAAGACCGAATGAACTTTAGAAGATGAGTTGTTACAAACACTTAGTCCTCATAATAAATTTGTCATTAGGTGCAAGTTGAATGATTGTCAATAAAAGCTTACATGGGAATGACAACCTCTAAGAGCGTTTTGAATGCTAAATAACTCTTATTCTCGGGATTCTCCTTTCGTCTCCACCCATTCTTCCAGAAGAGACAATTTTATTGCAAATCTCAAATTCTATGAAAGTCTAATGCGGAAAAGAATCGGAGCATGGGTATGTAGCAAGCTTGTTTACGTGATGACATTTTAAAACGACTATTGTTTTTTGTTTTCAAATGAACAAAAGATACTTTCAGAATGGCGAAAAAACCAATATTTCAGTCTTATCTGCTTTCGAGTATCCCCACCAAACAAATGTCATAATCACATCTATATCAAAATACGGGTATGCCACATACCCTACTAATAAGCTTATTGCTTTTACAAGCTCTTTAGAGATGATATCTATTGCCGCTACTTCGATAAATCAATGCATGATATTGGAAGACCTTTTATGAGTCTTGTGTTTCCCGAGTACACGGTAATGTGCTTGCGAAGGGAAGGAGCCAGATTTATTTCGCTCTCGGATACTGCTAATGGACAGTACGATTACCCGGTACCGATTATGGATCGCACTCGATACGGTTTGTTTTAAGTCAAGAAACTTACCTCCGTCTTCGTGTTTAGAGCCCGCTCACTTCTTCTCAATCTGCTTGGCTCCTATCTATGGGCCAGAACCAAAATGGCTTCAGCTTGCCGAACTTGTTGAGCATTACAAGATTCAGGTTTTATACTTTCTAGATATGAGAAATAATAAAAACCCTTTTACACCACTCATTCAAATAGTTGTTTATTCTTATTTTTAA